GCCACACACCACCTGTCTCCAGTTACCACTAGGTTAATCCCATCAGGAATCAATTCACTAATTAGTTTAAGGCTTTCACAACCTAATCAGTTCTCCTTCAAACCTTACATTGTCTCACACATGAGCTTTTGTGGGACACTTCACATTTAAACCATAACATTCAGGCTAAATGAATTTAAAAAGTGAGGCCCTAGTCTGACAGCATTACTGTCCTTCTAATAAAGTGTGAGAGACACCAGGAATCTCTGCTTGTGCACAGAGGAAAGCTCATGTGAATTAAGAAAAAAATAAAAAGTCAGGAAGAGCCCTTGCCAAAATCTGAATTTGCTGTCTCCCTGATCTTGGACTTTTAACATCCTGAAGTATAAGAAAGTAAATTCCTGTGGTTTAAGCCACCCAAATGTTGTATATTGTTATTGCAGCCCAAGCCAAATAATATGCTATTTTTTTTTCTACTATGATTTGTGATGTTCTTGACTCTGATCAAGGAAGTTCTCATATCTTATCCAGTTAGATTCTAAATGTGTTCTCAAATAACATCTCTGTGGACTTTACTAGTGATGCATGATATCACTAGTGATGCATGATATCATAAACTTCTAGAAAAGAAGCAAAACAGAGTGCTTTATTTCCTCCATGACACCATCCTGGCACACAAATCCATTTTGATTGATCCCTATTGAAATGAAAAGTGCTATCTAAATAATATATGGCTATAAATGTTTTTCAGTCATAAAGAATGAACAGAGACAGACTCATAGATAAGTGTCCCATATATGCTTAAAACCTTTAAGTAGCTTCGCAATTCCCAAGATGGACTTTAAACTTTTCCTGACACACTAGGCCTCTATTCACCTCAAACTTCAAATCTGTGTTGTCTTTCTCCCTTTCACAGTGTAATAATTTTCTTGAACATGTTCCCATATATCATTTCCTACCCATTTTTTTTGTGTGTGGTGTGTGTGTACACACGTGCGCGTAAATGTGTGCACGCACGCGTATGGGTATGTGTGTCACAGTGGACCAAAACCAACACCTTGCTTCACAATTGCTCTCCAGCTGAGCTGCATCCTCAGCCTGAAGATCTTCTCTGTTCACCCTGGTCCTCTTCCTTCCTTTATTCCTTCCATCTTGCAAGGTTCACCCTCCAAACTATGGACTAATTATTTTTTTACCTCTTTACTAGACAAGCTTTTACTCTAGAAGCTTTCCATAATCTTTTCTCCTTTGGATGTGAATAATTTACTGCATTTTTATGTTCCCACAATACCCCATTCTTACACCCAAATTATCAGCTGTCACTATTTTGTAGCTGCTTATTTATGAGTATCTTTCTCATCAGACTTCTCCAGAAGAGAGCTTAATGTTCTTGTCTATATCTCTGATATAGAACAATATTAAGTATGGATCAATTTCTCTTTAAAAGTTGTTGAGTACATTCAGACATTTAAGGTAAGGATTTTAAAAGAAGAGTTGTTTTAGGATAGATGGTTTGGGTTCTGGTCAATAACATAAAGCTTACAAGGAAGAGGGAGGAGTATTATTTTTCAAAGAACTTAGCAATTCTACATTCTCTTCCTGGTACAAATTTGGAATTTCTGGAAACAAACTAGTTACATGAAATATGTATTTATAGAATAAAATCACCTCCCTTGCTGAGGAAGCCTACATTCATGAAAAAAAATAGTGGAAATTGCAGTTAAAGAAGAATGCAAAGAGCAAGCAGCATAAGCCCAGAAAAATATGTGGTGAGGCATGTTTTTGTAATTAATATTATGCTTACTTTCAACTAATTAATTGGTTTTGGTTAGCTAAATATATGATATATATTTGATAAAGATCTTGATCAGGAAAAATGTCTTTATTTTCAGTTAATAAAATACTGAATTCACAGAGATAGAAGAAAATCTGAGATGATATTTCCAACATCTTATAATACACAAGGATATTGACACTGATGGGAATGTGATTTCCTGCATATCCAAGTGGGTCTAAATCAACAAACACAGGTTAATGGATTATGAAGTCCTGTCCTTGCGCCTCTCCCAGACCCAGGTTTATGTTTTTTCTAAATGAATTGTCTATGTTTTCAGAAAAAAAAGGAATGTAAATTATATTCAGTAATCCTAGAAAACTGTTCATTAGATAAAGAAATATGCACTTCTGTTCATTTGTGGAATAGTTCAATCCCATATATGCAGAATATGTGGGAGAAGGAAGTACACTTGCAGTGTGTAGCAATGGGATTAATGATGAAAAGAAAATTAATGCCTTGAATTACATGAAAGAAATCTAGCATGGCTATAATAAAGTTGCCAACTATGAAGTTCTCATCTCGGCATCCACTTTGCTCCAAGAATGTTAAGTGACAAAGTTGTCAGAAGTGCTGTTGTCAAGGTCCTTAAAATGAACTATTGACAATTTGAGTTCACAAAGGATAATTGCTAGGTCCTACATATATATTGAAGAGTCCAAAAGAAAATTCCACTTCCTTCTCCATCCAGACATCAAAAGAGGTAACAGCAGCTAGCTGGGTTTCTGACATAAGAATCACTTCAAACCTGATAATATAGATATTATTGAAAAGCAAAAGGCAAGTTTCAAGAGCGTGTAGAAGTTGGAATCCTGTGTACTGGTCATGAGAATATAATATGAAGCAATCATAATGGAACTAAAATAGAGATTCTTCAAAAAATTAAAAATAGATCAGACACAGTGGTGCATGCCTGTAATCCCAGCAACTCGAGAGGCTGAGACAGGAGGATTGCAAGTTCAAAGTCAGCCTCAGCAACTTAGAGAGGCCCTAAGCAACTTAACAAGACCCTGCCTCTAAATAAAAAATAAAAAGATCTGGGGATGTGGCTCAGAGATGAAGTACCCCTGGGTTTAATCCCTAGTACAGAAAAATAAAAAAGGAAATAATTAAAAATGGAACTATGATATGATCCAGCAGTCCCACTCCTGGGTACATGTTCAAAAGAAATGAAATCAGGATCTCGAAGAGATAATTGCACTGTGATGTTCAGTTCATCATTATTCACAATAGTCAAAAAGTGAAAACTACCTAAATGTCTGCACACAGATGAATGATAAAGAAAATGTGGTACATATATACATGTAATTGAATATCACTTATGAAAATGTTGTATATCACAACATGGATGTTCCTTGAAGACATTATACTAAGTGAAATATGCCAAACACAAATGGACAAACACTGCATGTTTCCACCTGTATGAGGAATCTAAAGTAGTCAAATTCATAGAAACAGAATAGAGAATGGGGGCAGGAGCCATGAGGACAGGAAGATCGAGGGGTTGCTCGATGGGTATAGAGTCTCAGTCATTCAAAATAAAAAGCTCTACAGATTTGTGTAAAATGTTGGACTTACAGTTAATAGTACTGTACTGTACCCTGAACAATGTGTTAAGAGGGAAAATCTCACTTCTTTTTTTTTTTTTTTTTGGCCACAATTTGAAAGAGAGAGATTTGTGTTTGGCAGCATCCTGAGGAGGTACAAGTCTCCAAACAGTGTCTAGTGAACTTAGCAGTATTTAGAATTCACTGTGATAAAATCTCAAATCTCAGCTAAGCAGTAGAGTGAATATTCATAGAAACAAGATCTTTCTTCATGTGTGTCCTCTGTCTTTTCTCCAATTTTCTAGCCCTTTGGAAAATTTTCCACCAAGTGCAATAGCAAGTACTGTTCAGGTCTGAGATTTCCATTCAGCCCTCTCCTTGCCCCTCAACTACCTTCCCCTTGGCTTTAGCTCATGTTTTGCCACTAGGAAACCAAGATGCCCCAAACATAGGGCAACTTTTACTTAAAATAGTACAGTGTACCGGGCTTTCCCCTTCTCTTATTTATAATAAATTGTTATGTACAATCGCTTCATTTGATTAAGCTTCAGAACTGTTTGGTAAAGTCAGATGGAATAGCATTTGTGAGATTCAAGCCTTCCAGGCCAATGGAGCCACAGAAAGTCCAACACAGTGGCTGCTTCCAAGAGTAATGACAACTCAATAGAGTTTCAGTTTTAAGTTTTAGAGGATTTAATTTTTGTTTGGTGAGAAATCATCTCTTCATAAATGAAATTTTACTACCATTTACTTGGTTCTGCTCATTGTCACATAAGCAGTACAAAAATTTATTATGAAAAACTTTAATGCATACAGAAGTAGAGAAAATACATTAATAAATGTATTTATGTGTCTATCATCAAGTTTCTACAATTAAGAACCCATGGCCCAGGACCCTAGAAATAATGAAATATGATTGTCAACTGAGAATAAAACATTTTAGAGACAATTGGTCATTGATGCTAAATCAGGGCAATGTGTAGAAGTAAAAGTTTTTGTACCAGAAAAACAAAAAGCTACAAAATCAGATGTGGTAGAAGATTTTAGCATATGCAAAGAAAAGAATGTTTTGGAAAGAATATTTTGGACAAGTGGAAACAGAGAAACCAATATTAAGAGAGGTCTGTGTTGCCATGTTCAGCCCAGCATTGCAAAGAGTCAAGGGTACTCTCCTAGGGCGCTGTAAGTTCTCTGTACACCCTAGTGATCTGCACACCTCTTGTAGATACATATGCATCAGCTGTTTCTTTGTAGGGACACAAAGTGTAGGCTGGTGACTGGTCTTAGTGAGACAGAAGAAGTCAATGCCCCAGGAAGCAAGGAAAAGAAAGGCTGATGCTCAGTCTGGGTGATTGCTATTTATCACCCACTGTTCTGCCACCGTGGATATTAGTTTTCTTTGAGGCAAGCAACAACTAAGCAAGTAGACAGGGGGACCACTATGGGAAGAGAAAGTAGAAAGCTAGATTCATTACAGCATTGCTGTCAATTGTAGGAAAAGGAAACAAAACAAATGATAAGAGACAAGTTGATTATTTTCCTTTATCCTTCAATTTGAAGGCTGGGGAGAGCAAGGATTCTTAAGTCCTCACAGAAATGGTCATTTCCAGTGCATTAAAACCAACAGTCCATGTAAGGGTATTTTGTTTGTTCTGTTTTATTTTGGCCTGCCTGGAAGGTCTCCCCTGAAAACATGAAAGTAAATAAATTTCTTCTTAAGAGAGATGGGAAGCTTTCAGGAGAGAATTTTTGTCTCCTTGAGGAAGGAGTTAGTCTAGGAATGGAAATAAACTTACTTTCTCCTTAGAAGAATATACAGATTTCAGATAAAAAAAAAAAATTATTCTTCTAGGGACTTTAAAGATTTGGTCAAGGGACTTTAAAACTGCGATCCACTGTTTTCTTTCAAAAAGATGTTTTATCTCACCACTTTGAGACACACACACTCAAACACACACAGTTCAAGTTGTATTGCAATTCCTATCCTATAGTCTATTTCATTTTATTATAGTTTATTTTTAAGGAGTTGTGCAATAAGCTTTACAACCAGTGAAGAATTGCAATCTGCAGTTTGAAAACAAACATTTTTTTCCTCTGCTGTTTCAAAGGTAAAGCTTCTTTGTGGCAGTTGTGACTGTGGATGTATGTACGTGTGTTTATTACCCATTTGTATCAGATACTATGGGGGGGAAAGCAGGGCCCTCTGGTCAGATGCATGCTGATCAGGGTACAGTGAAGAAGTGTGCGCCCAGAGTTAGTTGTGGACCCTTGCCAGAGCCCTTGCACCTTAGACATCCTATTGTTATTTTGGACAGGATTTGTTGTCCCAAAGAGAAGTGGAAAGAAGCAAGGAAGTCTTTGAAATGGTACACAACCTGAAGAAAGCAGAAGATGGTGAAGCCTGGGTGAGCTTACAATCAGGGCCTCACTTTAAGGACTTCTTAGTTATTTACTGGTGGCTGATCTGGGTCAGTTTGCTTTCTATGCTATTTAAATGTTAACTCAATTAAGAACACCTTATTAGGGGCTGGGGATGTGGCTCAAGCGGTAGCGCGCTCGCCTGGCATGCATGCGGCCCAGGTTTGATCCTCAGCACCACATACAAACAAAAATGTTGTGTCCGCCAAAAACTAAAAAATAAATATTAAAAAAAGAACACCTTATTAAGAACATGTGAATGCCATGTAGTGCACATGGGAAAATTCTCTGGTTCCAAGGAAAGAAGCTATTTTCCATGTTGACAAAAATGTTATGGCCAGGTCTTCTCTTTCTGATCCAGAAACTGCATTCCACAGTGGAGTGTCTCTTCCTATATGCACTGGGGAACAAATGATTGTCACTCAGGAATAGGACAGGATGTTTTCAAAATATTTCACATTAGATCACAAATATAGAGCCTGCAAATTAAGTAAAACTATCTTTTTCATATTTTAGGTTTCTTCTCCAAGTCTCCAGTAGGTTCATTTATAGGTATTTATTAAAATAAAATAAGAGATACATTAACTGATATAAGAAATTTATTATCCAATATTTTAATAATGATGAAAAATTGGAATCACTAAAATCAGTAACAATTAAACAATAATTATAATTAATATATATAACAGAATATGTCATCAAGCATCTAAATTCATGTTCTATGACTCTATCTGAAACCAAGAGAATACAATAGTATATATCTAAATAAAAAAGTGCAGCAAACTATATAGGCTACAAAAATTTGATAGAATATGAGAATAAATATATCTTTATATGGGTGTATGTATATATTTTTAAATCGGAAAAATATAATTCAATATATATTTAACACTGATCTCTGACTTGTAAGACTTTGTATCTATTTCTATTTTCCAAATTTTCTAAGTGAACATGTATTTCCATTACAAAAGAAAATTTTGTCTTTACAGAAAGAAAAGCAGAGGCCAAAAATGACAGAAGAAACTCAGCTTTGATAACATACCGTTGTGATGGCAAAAGGTGCAATGGCAGTCGAGGGGGAGAAATAAAGAATGTGCACACACTTCTGCCCTTTTCAATGCTTTATTCACTCAAATCACTCAATACAATATCACTCTATAGGTTCTTAATCAATAAAATGACAACCCTTAATGCTAGGCACTGCAATAGACATAATCAATCCATAGTAAACAATTCTAGATTAAGTCTAAGCACTGCAAACACACTTAATCATCACAGGCTCATGACAGACATTCCCTCTGCATGCTAAGCTCAAGTGTCAGATCAAAAGTCTCAAGTCTTAGACTTTAAGTCCAGCAGATGCACACTCACTCAGACCATGGTAATCAGATCAGGAACCAAGGCAGGCTTCTCCTGGAGTGGAACTGACAGCTGGTTCAAGAGAGAGTTGTAGGGAGAAGTTGCAGCACTCACCAGGGTCAAGATGTGGCTATAGAGTTTGAGAGCCATGAGGAAGATACAGAGGATCAGGCAAATTCCTGAGAGCCATAGCCAAATAGGAATGATGCATGGCATTTTGGGTTGAAAGGTGACCCTGCTCAGGGATTAGGGTGGCTCTGGGTTTGGGGTGGATCCTGCTGGGAATAGGGCAGCTCCAGGATTAGGGCGGATCCTGCTGGGATTAGGGCGTAACCTGCTGCCTCAGGTGCCCACTCCTTTGGAGTTCCCATTGAGTTCTCATGGGGTTCTGGGAGAAATGGTGCGCGGAGCTGAGTGGAGGCAGGGTGTTCATGAAAAGTGTGGGCAGAGTGCCGGTGAGAGTTCGAGAATAAAGAGTTGCTGTTCGAATCTACAAGGCTTTTGTGGTGGCTCGGTTATTTTGTGCCCAGCCAGACTGCGGCAGCAAATGATGAGAAGAGTTGGGATGTCAGTTCAGGTCCTCATCAGGCTCTCCATCATGAGGGCATCAGTGTCAGCTGGCTGAATGTCTCCATCATTTATACTAAATTTGGGGGTTTCTGACCACCCTTTTAATCCCTATCAGCTGCCACTGGATTTCTCAGTGATGTAATTTGCCTTGGTGTTAAAACATCTGGTCTGGTGGTCCCCACCCTGATTTTCTTGCCTTTCCCCTTTATCAGGGCAAGGACAGCATGACAGAGACTTTACTCTGAGCTTGTCAGGGTGGGGAGAAGTCACTTGTTTGGGCCCAAGGGCCATACTGGAGGGCTCCATTAGGTGTTCCTGGTGAGACTGCAGGTTTCAAACTGAAGTTTTAAAATGAAGTTGCTGAAGCTAAGGCCTAAGCAAAAGCTCAGGATGCTACAGGAACAAGGCTACACCCACTGCAAACAGCAACCATAGATTTCATGCATCACTGCAAATTCCTTCTTTGCCTCAGTTGTTTCTACACATTTTCATTTCGATTAAAGGTACTAGTTATTCTATACAACAGAGTAATAGTAGCAAAAACAGCATGGTATTGGCACCAAAATAGACTGGTAGAATAGAGGACACAGAGACTAACACACATAATTACAGTTATCTTATATTAGACAAAGGTGCCAAAAATATGAATTGGAGAAAAGATAGCCTCTTCAACAAATGGTGCTGGGAAAACTGGAAATCCATATGCAACAAAATGAAATTAAACCCTTATCTCTCACCATACACAAAAATCAAAGTGGATCAAGGACCTAAGAATTAAACCAGAGAAACTGCTTCTAAAAGAAGAAAAAGTAGGCCCAAATCTCCATCATATCAAATTAGGTCCCTACCTCCTTAATAAGGATCCTATAGTTCAAGAATTAAAATCAAGAATTAATAAATGGAATAGATTGAAACTAAAAAGCTTCTTCTCAGCAAAAGAAACAATCAGTGAGGTGAATAGAGAGTCTACAGCTTGGGAGCAAATTTTTACCCCTCACACATCAGAAAGAACACTAATCTCTGGGGTATATAAAGAACTCAAAAAGCTAAACACCAAAAAACAAATAACTCAATAAATAAATGGGCCAAGGAACTGGAGAGACACTTCTCAGAAGGTGATATACAATCAATCAACAAATATATGAAAAAATGTTCAATACCTCTAGCAATTAGAGAAATGCAAATCAAAGCTACTCTAAGATTTCATCTCACTCCAATCAGAATGGCAGCTATTAAGAATTCAAACAACAAATAAGTGTTGGCGAGGATGTGGGGGAAAAGGCACACTCATACATTGCTGGTGGGACTGCAAATTGGTGCAGCCAATGTGGAAAGCAGTATGGAGATTCCTTGGAAAACGGGAATGTAACCACCATTTGACCCAGATATCCCCCTCTTAGGTTTATACCCAAAGGACTTAAAAACAGCATACTACAGGGACACAGCCACATCAATGTTTATTGCAGCACAATTCACAATAGCTAAATTATGGAACCAACCTAGATGTCCATCAGTAGATAAAGAAAATGTGGTATTCATACACAATGGAATATTACTTGGCATTAAAAGAGAATAAGATCATGACATTTGCAGGTAAGTAGATGGAGTTGGAGAATACAATGCTAAGTGAAGTTAGTCAATCTCAAAAAACCAAATGCCAAATGTTTTCTCTAATATAAGGAAGGTGATTCATAATGGGATTGGGAGTGGGAGCATGAGAAGATTAGATGCACTCTAGATAGGGCAAAGGGAAGGGAGAGGAAAGGGGGCAAGGAGTGTACAAAAGATGGTGGAATGAGATGGACATCATTACCCTAAGTATATGTATGAAGACACAAGTGGTGTAAATACACTTTGCATACAACCAGATATATGAAAAATTGAGCTTTATATGCATAATATGAATTGTAATGTATTCTGATGTCATAAATGACAAATTAGAATAAAAAGATAAAATAAATCTAAAAACAAAAAGTTATTCTTGTAAAACATGTAATGTTATTCTGCTGAGCTCTTTCTGATGGGGCATGTTCCTTCACAGTTAGATTGCTTCTTCTCTTGGCTTGATTACTAAGGACTGCCCTTTCCAGTGATCCGTTCTCACCCTCCTCAAATCTTCCTCAATACCCCCTGCTAATGTTTGACCTGATTCAACCTGAATGGTGGACCTCCCAGGGCCTATTCAGACCAGCACATGATGCCTGGGTGCCTTCTCTCTCCTAAGCATCTACTCTGTCCTCTCCTGAGGTCCTAAGACATGCACCTTGAAGGAGTAGCACTAATCACAAAGGGCACCTACATTCCACGGGCTTTTCTCCTGTAAGGTGGGTTAGCTGTTTGCATGAGGGATGGGGAAAGAGAGGGGCTTCTTGCTTGGTGCTTTAGATCTCTGGTTGTTTCTGTTGGTTCTTTATTACTTCAGGAATCTAGGGAATATTTCAGGAAGAAATGTGGGTGTGCTTAGCAAGTCCATGGTGTCTTAGATTGTCTCAGAGCAGAGTAGGCAGTCTGGGACATTGTGCCAGAAACTTCCAACCATCCTGGGGAATGCAGTTTTATGGAGACATTGCAATGTTTTATATAACCCATATCCCACCAGAGTATATAAAAACAAGTTTATATAAATTACCTTCTGACACCTATTGCAGAGCAGAGAATTAAAGGACACAGGGAGAACCAGGTCACTGTTGCAGGACTAGGAATACAGAGAGAGTTAAGGGCGGTCTTGGTCAGACCCCAGAACCTGTGGATCTCAATTGTCTCAAGTCAAAAATGCTATAGGAGATTGTTCCTGAGAGAAAATTTGTTCAATTTCTTTTCCCTCTGTGTGTCCAAATTAAAATAGACATGGGGCCCCCTGTGAGATGGCACCGAATGTTTTCTCTTCCTCTACAGTTTCTTAGAATGTCCCAGGAGTTTAGCGGTCAAGTCAGAAGATTCCCAGCACAATCCACCTGGCCTGCAATGTCAGGGATCTTTGTTTTGATCCAGAGAGCTATTCTCTGCTTCATGAACAAATACAGATCTATTTCCTCTGTGGAGGCACTGTTGTCTTGAAGACTGTCGTGGCCACAATTTTTAGTATTCTCTCAAAAAATGAATGTGGGTGAAACTCCAGGAAAGGAGTTTCCTTTTCAAGGAAAGTACTGAAGGAAGTAATGAAGTACTGAAGTACTTCCACACTAAAATAATACAATGGTGCACAGAGTGCCTTCTGTTTTCTGAACATTCCCAGGTCTGTCTCTGAGCTCTATTTTTTAGTCCTTATGATGGTTATTCAAGATTTCTCTTCTCCTAAGCATTTGTTCTTGAGGTAATAGGATTTCCAAATGGAGTGTGCTGCAGAGATAATGGACTAACTGGAGAGGGCTGTTTATTTCAATATCTGTAATATTCTGATTATTTTCGATTAGGTGATTATAACGGAGAGCTACAGCCTGAGGCAATATCTCAGAGCATCTGTCCAAGAACAGGCCGAGAGGAAAAATGGCCAAATTTTTCCGAGTACTCTGCTCTCTTTTGTTCTTCAATTGGATATATTTGTATCAGTTTTAAGTGAGTAATTTGGCTGATCCTGGCAGAATTGTAAGGCTGATTTGTGTGCTTTGATATTGTAATCTGAAAGACAATATTTTAAATTAAAAAATTGTTTCATTGGATCATTTACATAAATATATGTATTATATATGAAATATTATATATATAACATATGCATATACACACATATACAAACACACACACACACACACACACACACCACAGGGGCGGGGGCAGACCAAACGACTCTAGGTCAATGATTAGATACCTTAGTTTTCCTGTCTATTAGATGCAAATTTTGAAGGCTAATTCACAGAGATAGGAGGGCTTGGGTAATTTAGTGAGGTACCATGTAAAAATGACTGGCAGTATGCCTAGACCACAGCACATCTCAAAAATCTAGAACTTTTGAAAATGTTGTTTTCAAGGGGATCATGAAGTCAGGGTGAGGAATCATAAAGAGATCTAGCCTCTAGAACTAAGATCTCAGTTTTTCACATATCTAAAATCAGCCAAATGATCACAGAATTCCAGCATACCTTATTTCTTTACTTTATTGGCTACCTGCTCTGAATCCTCTCAAGTACAGGCTAATAAGTGTTAGTTAAAAAACAAACAAACAATAAAAAACTTTGGTGTTTTGGGCTGGCAACTTTTATAGGAGCAACGATGCATTGATGTAATACCACTGATTATGAGAGATAGTAGTATTTTAATGAATGAATACATGTATAAATGAAATAGTGTTTTTGATTATTGAAAGCTTCCTTTGTAATACATCAGAATTATTTATTTTGCCAACAGAGTAAGCTGTGATTTACCAGGAACTAGATTCTGTAACTATTTTCATGTATTCTCTAGTTTCAGGCCCTCGACAATGGTGGCCACCACATGGAATTATGAAGGTAATTGTTCACTAGATTTCCCAGGACTGAGATTCTAATCTGAGATGTTTTTTTTTTTTATTCTTTTGAATTGTCATTTGAAACTTTACTGCAACAAGATCATCAATGATATTCTTAAAGTTCTCTTCATATGAGGCTGGGAGGCACACTGCTGCTAGAGGAGCCCAAAGCAGAGTGATCCAAACTGGGAACCAAATCAGAGTTTGTTCATACGTACACCAATAAATCCCCCCTAGTGCCTGAGAATGTTTAGGAGTGTCAACAATTGGCAGGTGACAGGGTGACAGTTTCTTAAGACCCATAGACTTGGGCACTACCATGGTTCCTGCTCTTAAGGAGCTCACTGTCTGGTGGAGGGAGCATCTGGAGTGAATGTCCCTAAATTAATGTCTTTAGATGGCTCACATGATGGCTATGCAGGTTGTAAATATAGAAAACAATGTGGGAGTAGGGATGGAGGAACATGTGAAAGAACAAGACCTCTGAACTGGGCCTCCAGTTATGTTTGCAACTTGTCTGAGAGCAAAAGTATGCTTGTCAGGTGGTCAGAACAGCTAAAAGACAAGGAACAACTGAAAAACAAAAAAAAACCTAAAATGTCAAAAAGCAAGGTGGTATAAGGAAGGTTGGATGAGTTGGGAGGATTTTGATCTCATGGGATGATTTAGCTTCTAATAAGAAAGGGTTTTTTTTTTTTAAGAAAAATGAAGTACAATAAAAGAATTGTAATCAATGGAATACAAGTATTCAACTAATATTTAGATATTGAAACTATAGAAAATGGAGAGAGAGGAAGTAGAGGGATTAGTTAGTGATGGTTGTGGCCTCGCCATGATGATAGTATTAGATAAAAGAGGAAGTGGAGCTTCTGAGCTCAAGCATTACTCCTTTGTCTCCGAATTCCCAGTCCAATCCTCTCTCTACCTTGTACATGTGGTGCTTTATCTGTACCAATCTCATGTTACCGACAGTTCCTGGTCCCTGAGACCACTATCTTCAAGCTCCAAGCTTTCAATGACGCAGGCTGTGTCCAGGGAAGAACTTGCAAGTAATCACAACACCTGGGGTCCAGCCCCTGTTGAGAATGCCTCTTCTTTTGTTTTCAGGTTTCCCTACAAAATCAGGGAGCTTATTTTAAATGATTTCACATTTTAGAATCTTTGTGATAGAAGATAGCACTGAATGTTCTCACAGTGGATAAAATAAATATTTTAAATTAAGTTGTAGTTTTCCAGTGAAATGTTTTTTTTTAACTATTGGGCTTCAGTTTCCTTAGCTGAGTGGCTTAGAAAATGTCTAAGAATATTTCCTAGTCTGGTAGTATGGGTATAAGGGACACTGAGAGAGCAGATCAATGTCCCAGATATCTTCTTCATGTTTATCCACTTCCCCAATCCATTATAGCATACCAGACCTCTGTTCTAAGTACCAAGGAGATCCTAACAAGGGTATCACGTGGTTATTCAGTGGGATATGCATAGGGCCTAGTTCTATTGCTTGTGTAAATGGAACCTGTGAGAGTTCTTTTTGAGACCAGAATACAGTAATGAGACTGCTTAGATTTTCCTAAGAAAGTCCAAATGTGGTGCACCTGTCTGAGCATGGCTCTCATTGTATCATTCTTTTCAACTCAATTTCAGATCAAATGTCCTCATAAGAAAATGAACTTGTGTTGGTTCAGTCAAAGACCTGATCCACGCCCTGACTTAAAACAACCCATCTCTGGCAACAATTTCGTAACCTATGACAATCCCTGCTTCTTGTGTCTTGAGAGCTTGTGAATACTTATCAGGAAAAAGACAACTATGGCTGTGCTCATTCATAGCAATTGACATCTACCTTTCTTGTCAAGTACCCCACCATTGAAGCCAGGGGTTTGCTCCGGTTTCTGCAGATAGCCATCAGCCTCCACTCAGAAGGACATGTGCTACGAGACAGCCCACTGGAGTAGAAAGCAGACACATTGTACTGAGCAGTGTTCCTCGGGTTCTTTCTGTTTCTGAGCCCTCACATTTCTATATGGTAGTTGACCGATTTCTACTTAAAGTTCTGAAATATCTCTTCAAGTTCCCCAATTCTTTGATTTTAAGACAAATTATAGTTTCACCTTCTCTTCCATATCTTCCGCCTCTTATGTGTTTGAAACTCTAAACTAGGATGAGACAACTTCAACATTTGGGTCCTTCATCTATGATTTAGTACTTAGACTTTTGCATTTACATGACATGAAGTCTGTGACTAGACTCTGAAATTTCACATCACAATGGTTTCAGATTCGATGCCTACACGAGCCAGGGCATTTTGAAGGGGCAAAAACCTTCCTTATGGCAACAGACTGGAGCCCTCATCCCAACAATGGATTTGTAATTTTATACAGGGACAATGACAAGAATGTACAAACCCCAGGTCATTCTGCTCATGAATAATTCAACCAAAAAAGGAGAATATATTGACCAAATAGGTGAGGGCTGGTATGCTTCAGACATCACAAACTCAGGCCTGACTTAACAGCTTGTTTTCAAAAATTCTGTAGCATATGTCATACTAACTCACAAAAGTGGCATCTTTGAATCCTGGAAACATGACTGGGTAGGAAATCCAATAATTTGGCTTTTGTCTTTAGTCAATTCCAGTTATACACTGGATTTTAATTTCTTGAATACAAAATAAAGGTGCTAGATAATTTTTTAAAGTAATTTTGTGGTTTTGATCGTCTATTAATGAAATATTTATTGCAACTCTTAGGAAATCTCATGGAAGAATAGTTTCACCATGATGGAGGGTGCTGAATGGGCTCTGATATGGAAGAAGGTAACCTCTCTGTTCATCACAACAATCCTTTTCAACCTTATCCCTGTGTTATCTCTGTTCTTGGTGACAGACAGCTGCCCCTGCTGAGCTTGCAGCTGGTATCTTGGATATCTCGGTTACATCTGTGGGCCCTTTTCTCTCATTGATTAACTGTTTCCCATATTTTCCCTAATAAACTTTTCTGAGCTTTTCGGTAGTTCCTTGGTGGAGTGCTTTCCTCGCATGCTGGAGGCCATGGGTTCCATTTCCAGCTTTGCAAATAAATAAAACTTTTCTGAAAGTCTTATTTGACTTGGATCTCAGATCTGCAACTCAAATTTTAGAAGCAGAATAAATTGAACAATTGAGCCACGAGTCAAAGACAACCATTGGGATTAATCAGCTCTCTAATCCTGTGAACAGTGATGTAATCTGTGTAAAGCCTCTGGGTTGTCTTCTCTGGAATGTGACAAAAATGTTCTTCTATACTTCTTTGGCATTTAAAAGAAACACTGAAACTTACGGAGCACTGTGCTCTGCTTGGTCAATTCCTATTGCCCAGCTTCTGCAAATTCCTCATTAAGTGTCCTCACATTTAAATTCAGCCTGGATGCAGAGGCATTTATACATGTTCAGCACAGATCAACAAGACACGGTATCTTGACCAGCGCCACTCACCTCCACGGAAGGAAGCCTACGTTGTTGGAATTTATGAATGTCCTGTTGGTCATTTTTCTTAAATTCTCTAGAAACTTTTAACCTCTGAAGGATAGAAACATTTTTCTCTCAGTTATTCTTCCTCTGAGCAGACTACTATGCACTGATGTGCACTCTCCCTCTTAGCAGCTCTCTGTTCAGGCCTGGAAAACTGCAGCTATTCTGCTTCTTCATGCCCTATAAAATAAATGATTTTGTATTAGTGTTAACCAGTGAAGTTTTCATCTCAAAGAGGCACCATCACCAACCTTTTATGAGATTAGAGCTCTGTTATCTCTAATCCTCTCTGGTGATTCTTTCTTGACTCTGGTTAATTTTCTTACACATGCACTGATAGCAATCTGACCCTTCAGTGCAGCTCTCCTGTGCTGAGGTCCTGCAAACACTAGCCACTTTGGTCTCTCCTCTGAGCTTTGCATCATCAACTCACGGTTGTTCCATCACAGTTCCTTTTGGCTTACCCTGGAGTCTCCCACAGTGCAGAAGTGAAGGCCAGCCACAGAGTGAACTTATTTATCATTTCAGTGCTCAGGAATCAATGTCTGATGGTTTTATGTTGTTGTTTCGCATATTTAGTGATATTTTAATGTTATTTTAGGTAAACGTGTCTCTTGCATGACAGTGTCTAAGAGGGGAAGTCATCCTTATTTTATTATGCCACACTGTACTCTCCTTCTTCTTTGGTATCTTCTAAAGTCTACTCTAAAATACAATGTCACTATTCTATTCTTTTTCTAAGAATTCCAAAGAACAAGACTATATTTTTGCAGTAATCATAGTCTGGTGGATAATAAAGCACTTATTTAAATATGCTACACACAGAGGAAAAAAATGTCTTTGATAACAATATTTTTCTGTCATTGTTTGGTAGACATTTCTGAAGAGGGAAAGAGGGTCAGCATGTATCGAGTGCAAGGCTCCCTCCTTCTAAGCAACCAAGATAACCTCCACAGATCTCCTATGTCTGCATGCATAAAGGGAGTTCTCCCTCAGTAAGTGTTGGTTTTGATAGTCACCACCTTGTTTTTTCATCTTTCTCTCTCATTTCAGATGTCCAGGAAGAAGATGGTAGCTTTCCTCCTCAGGACCTTATTTGAAATCCTTCTCTTTGATTCCCTGTATTCTTAATCCTCTAGTTTTTGATCATTTACAGGTTTCTCTGCTTGCTGTCTTCTCCGTGCCATCCGACATCCCCTGCTGGCAAACCCATGTTCCTAATTACCCTGTTGCCTGGGTAACACATGCATCCACATCTTGAGACCTCAGCCACATTCAGAGCTTCTGATTCTGGACCTCTTGATTTCATTGGCTCATGGAATATTTAAAGTCAATCTGATATAAATTCCATTTATTTTCTTTTAAATGTTCTCTTACATGTGTTTTGATGTAATGAAAGTTAATGCTATTAGTCTAAGTCTTTTCTCACACTCAATTTCAGTATATAACCTCTAAATATCTACATCATCTTTTTTTTATAATTTTAATTAATTAATTAATTAGTTTATTTTTTTTCTTTGTGGTGTTGAGGATTGAACCCAGTGCTTCACCCAAGCTAGGCAAATGCTCTACCACCCAGCCATAACCCCAGCCCATACATCATCTTAAGTGTTAATTAAAATGACATTTATTTAACCCATGACATTATGTTTAATAGGTTATTTTGATATTCATCTTAATGATTACCTCTGTCTCTATTCTCTACTCCCAATCATAATCCTGTCTCTATTCTATAATCATTTAAATATAGCCTGTTAAAATCCTTATCCTCTATTCTTACATAGTCCCCATTGTGAGTTAGCATCTGCATATTAGAGAGAATATTTGGCTTTTGGTTCTTGGGAATTGACTTATTTCGCTTAACATGATATTCTCTAGTTCCATCCATTTACTGGCAAATGCCACGAGTTAATTCTTTTTCAAGGCTGAGTGATATTACATTGTGTATAGATACCACAGTTTCTTTATCCATTCATCTGTTGAAGGGTACCTAGGTTAGTTCCATAGCTTAGGTATTTGAAATTGTGCTGCTATAAACATTGATGTGGCTGTGTCACTGTAGTATGCTATTTAAATCCTTTGGATATATATCAAGGAGTGAGATAACTGGATCAAACGGTGGTTCCATTCTAAGTTTTCTGAGGAATTTCTATACTGATTTCCAGAATGGTTGCACCAATTTGCAGTCCCACTAGAAATGTATGAGTGTGCCTTTCCCCCTACATCCTCCTCAACATTTATTGCTGCTTGTATTCTTGATAATTGGCATTCTGACTGGAGTGAGATAGAATCTCAGTGTAGCTCTGAATTAGGCAGAGGGGAGGGAAGGGAGAGAAAGGGGGTATTAGGGTAGTAATTATAGTAGAACAAATTGGACATTATTACCCTATATGCATATATGATTACATGACTGATGCAACTCTATGTACAACCAGAAGAACGAGAGGTTATACTCCATTTATGTACTATGTGTCAAAATCCATTCCATTGTCATGCATAACTAATTAGAACAAATTAAAAAATAGTATGAGTTAAAAAAATTCTTAGCTTCTTGAGAAGTGTCTGTTTAGTTTCTTAGCCCATTTATTGGTTGAGAAATGCAAATTAAAACTACTGCAAAATTTTATCTCACTCCAGTCAAGATGGTAATTATCAAGAATACAAGTAACAGTTAATGTGGCAAGGATGTGAGGGAAAAGGTACACTCATATCTTGTTAGCGGGACTTCAAATTAGTACAATCACTCTGGAAAGCAATATGAAGATTCCTCAAAAAAAACTAGGAATGGAACCACCATTCCTACGACCACTTGACCCAACTATCCCACTCCTCGGTATATAAAATCAGCATACTACAGGGACACAGCCACATCAATGTATATAGCAGCTCAGTTCACAATAGTATGCTATGGAGCCAAACTTGGTGCCCTTCAACAGATAATTGGATAAATAAAATGCAGTATACACATGTATGCACACAATGGACAATACTCAGCTATAAAGAAGAATGACTACACTACACCAGCAGCTCTGCTTAATGTATATTTAATGGATAAAGTACTTGTCATAAAAAAAGAAGAATGACTTTAGGCATTTGCTGGTAAATGAATGGAACTGGAGACTATCATGGTAAGTGAAATAAGCCAGTCCCACAAGTCAAAGATTGAATGTGGTAACTATTCTCCCCCTGCCTCCCGATGCAGATAGATAGATAGATAGATAGATAGATAGATAGATAGATAGATAGAAGTGAGATGAGAGGAATTCACAAAAGGGAATGAAAGTAAGGAAGGAGGGAAGAGACAGGGAAAGTCAGTGGAATGAATCTGACCTAACTTTCCTATGTACATATTTGAATATACCACAGTGACTCTCACCATTATGTGCATCCACAAGACACTAATTTAAAAAACTTTAAGTAAATGTCAGAAGAACAGTAGAGTAGAGGGAAGTAAATGGGGTGGGAGGAAGGAAGGTAAAAATACTGGGGACTGAAGTAGAACAAATTATATACCAAGCTTTTTATTATTATGTTATAGTATATTCTATTGTCATGTGTAACTAAAAAGAACCAATAAAATAAAATGAAGTAAAATCCTTATCCTTTATGAGTTATAATACAAATTAATATCTTAGTATAACTTATAAGACACTTTCTCGATCTGCTACAGACACTCATAAAGAACCCATGTGGTACTTGTAACAAGTCCCATTTCGCCACAAGATGGTAGTAAAGCACCGGGGATTAGACAACACTCTGACAAACTCTTCTGCCAACTTGTCATTGCACCAACCAAGTAGTTTGGGGCAGTCAGCTAACACTTTGTGAGCTGCAGATTTCTCCTCCCTTAACATGATGACATCCTTTTTTTCCAGGAAGGTAAAATCTCTTAAAATACCACAAGCTTATCTCTTATTTGGGGCTGACATTGGATGGGAGAGCTGGGAACTGCCTCTAACTAACAGAATGTTTCTAACTAATAGACTCAGTGGTCCTTTTCTAATTCCATGAAGTTCATTTTGGTTTTCTGATTATATCCTTTTTACCACCAAATGATAATGATAATGATAATAAGTTAATTTGAAGAGACAGAGTAAACTTTTTTCCACATATTTTTCAAATAAAAATTAGGAATGACTTGGGTATGGGCCTATGTCTGCAGGCAAAAGTTTTCTTGTCATTAAAAATAATATGCAAACAACAAGACAAACAACACATGGTTAATTTTATTTCATTTTAAATTTTTTTACTTATTTTATTAATATTATTTTTGACAAATCATGGA